ATGTAAAATCTTCAAAGAAAATGAAGTCAATGCTCTTGTCGCACATATTAGGCAAAATCCTTTTAATAGCGCAGTTAAGGTCCGAGAAGATACACAATTTCCAGGATCTCTTTAACAGCTGGCTTAAAAAACTTTGATGCTGCTCATAAGGTTTTTTTAACTGACGAGAATAAGTCCAGGAGAGTCCATCTAAATTATGGAGAGGGATTTTGGAATAATGTTAAAATTTCTGATGAAAAAACGTTCCAATCTTGCAATAATAGAAGGTGGCGTGTATATTGTCCAAGAGACGCAAGATTGAGAATATCTACACATTAAGAACCTCAAATAGTGGACGCTTTTCCATAAATGTTTGGGAGTTGATAAGCGTTCATGGTGCGGGAATATGTTGGGAAATTGATGGTAGATTAACGGCTATACGACCGTTAGACATGTGTTTCCTTCAGTTAGACATGTGTTTCCAGAAAATGTTATATTCCAACATGTTAGAAAACTGTATAGTATAGAAAAATGATTCTAATATATATTATATTACAGGACAATGCACCAGTTCACACAGCTCGCGTTACAGAGTGGGTAAACAACAACCACATAACTCTTTTGCCATGGCCAGCTAGAAGTCCTGACTTAAACCCCATTGAAAACGTGTGGGGTTTTATATTTAAAAAATTATATTAACGGGACTTTGGGCTAGCAAACCGAAATGATCTACGGAATGCTATTGAAAATTCTTGGGAAGAGCTTGTTGAGTCATACGACATGCGTTACCTAATAATGTCCATGCCAAGAAGATTGCAAAGTGTTGTGGCAGCTAATGGCTCTGTAATTAAGTATTAAAATAGCTTATGAGCAGCAGCACAGTTTTTTAAGCCAGCAAACCGAAATGATCTACGGAATGCTGTTGAAAATTCTTGGGAAAAGCTTAAGCAATTGCTGAATCATAAGACATGCGTTACCTAATAATGTCCATGCCAAGAAGATTGCAAAGTGTTGTGGCAGCTAATGTCTCTGCAATTAAGTATTAAATTAGCTTATGAGCAGCAGCACAGTTTTTTAAGCCAGCAAAACGAAATAATTCACGGAATGCTGTTGAAAATTATTGAAGAGCTTGAAGCGATTTGGTTATGTTTGTACTACTTTATTCATTATACGATATTATCATTGTGTAAAGTTGGTAACACGTCTTAATTCAAATTTTCCGCCTTAATAATTCCCCGCGAAATTTATTAGTTTTTTTGGTGATACTCGGCCACCATTTGCCTGTTGTCTTTAGCAGTTGCTTGCAACGTTTTAGATCTTTACATTTTGTTATCATCCTCGGGATTAATGTTCGTTTTATTAAACGAAAAGTTATCTGGTGAAACAGGTAACTAAATTAATATATTATTTTATGTTCACTTAAATTAAGTGGTGAAACAGTTTTTAGATTTAATAACCGAAGAATCAAGAAATGTTACCAATTTGAGGGTCAATTTGTCTTAACAGAATAAAGCGTGTTCAGGAATTACAGTCTTTAAAAACCTACCACCCACACCTTCGGCAAGTTTTCATCACTTTGCTACAAGCTTAAGACATTTAAATCTGCAGCTATTTCACTCAAAGACCAATTTTCTTGAGCAATATGTTAAATTTGCTATGTTATTTTTATTTGTTAATTACCTACCTACTTGTTAATATTGTTGTACAAAACCAAATTAAAGTTAATTTATTTGTAATATTGTATATATTACTGTTTGTTAAAATATTATTAAAAATTATTCTTATTCTTAGTATTATCCCCTCTATTTGTAACACCACTGGCCGAAGCCAGGAATAAACGAATTAATTTTATGAAAAAAATCCATGACAACCAAAAATCGTTCACATTTCGAGGACGCCAATTGTACCTCATTACAGCACCGAAAGCGGTGTTACAATGAAGTCATTATAAACGTAAAATAGAGTATTTAGTATTTTATTTACAGCGGCCCTTAAGAGCCCAATTGGCCCACTTGAAGTGGGACAACCCTGACGTAAGGTAAAACATACGCCGAACAGACTCTTAATTTAGAGGCTGTTCCTAAACATCGATTTCTTAACATGTATGTTCACCCAACGATAACCCAAACATCACCTATGTTTAAGGCTATTCCGTTTCTCATATGTTGAGAGCGATAAATATTTCTAGGACAGAGACTACCTTTGTTTTATAACCTAAATCATTTGTGATATTTAATATATTAAATGAACTTAAAAACAACTTAGGAAAATCCACAAATTCTAAAAATACTTGGGAAAAACGTTTTATACTGAACTAGCCAAATCACAGATCTTCTGGCGGGGCAATTAAGTATAATATATTATATTATTCCATATTATGGAAAAGGGTAATCATAAAATATCTTAAAATAATTATTTGTTACTTATTTTTACACACTTTTAGTGTATTGAAAATGGCAAGAAAACTACGCATTTCTCTCATGGAGACTGGCAATGTCGGGGAGCCAGTAAAACAACTTAATGACTTTAAGGATAAATTACTAGCCCTAATAGAGGAATCGCTGTGAAAGTTAGTGGTGGAGGTAATATCATTGTTGGAACTCTTCATTGACCAGCCTTTAAGGTCAGGTGGAAGGGCCCCTTCTACAACAGAGAGGCATAAAGAGAAAGTCCAACTCAAACTCTGACGAGTAGTGAAGGTGTAGAGGTTTTACAAGGTATTGATAAAACCTAAAAGTTTTTAAAATTAAACCAAAAAGTTTTAGCTCCCATGTAAAGAAAAAGAGTTTTTAGATGCATATTTTTTTGTATTTTATTAGTTATACTTTTCTTTCACTAATATTTTGTCTATATTTTTGAGTAATTACATAGGTATTTGATATTTTATATTTGTTGTATTTTTTTAATAAAATATATTTTTCCAAGTTATTTTTTATTCTATCAATATATATAGAGAGGTCGTTTTAGTAACATATAAGTCTTGACCTCCCTCCCCCCAAATTCTCTCTTCACACTCAGAGTTTTTTAATTTTCTGTTTTTTTCTAAATAAATATTTATTATTATTATAATAAAATTAATATTAATTATATTAAAAAAAATCAGTAAAGCAAAATTTGTATTCTTGTATTAGGAAATACATTTTAAAAATTAAAAAACAAATAAACATATTTTTAAAACGACCAAAAAATATATTTTTATTTGTTTGGTGTGAAACCTTATATGATTTGTCCTATTCCCATTTATAAATAATTATTTATCATTTATAATTATAATTAATTAGGTATTAATTATGAAAAAGTAATTAATCCATAATTGATAATGATACTGTACTGTATACTGTACCAAACATCGCCGCAATTTATGATTAATGCAAGATAAAAAACCTCAAATATTGTCTAACAGCACCTCTCAGGCAAGCGTTCGTAAACATACGTTTTCAAACATCATGTATGTTCACCAAACATCGAATTTTGGAAACGGAATAGCCATTTTAACACCGATGATGTTTATAAACATGGATGTTTAAGAAATTCTTCGAGCGCATGCGTCTTTAGACGAAATAATTAAAAGGGAATAGGCTCATATGTTACGAAACATATGTAGTTCATGAACATGCATGTTTAGCGAAAGGGAATAGGCCTCTTAGTCTTCTTATGACAAGTGCAACGTTGAAACTTCTCTTAAAAAATGTCAATATTACTCTAAATTAATCCATCAAATGAACAGTATACAGTAGGGTACAATTTTTGTCACAGGAGAATTAAAATTTAAAAAAATAATGATATGCTTTATTTAGATTCTATTTTTACAATATTTATGACACAAAGTACACAAGGCCTCAGCATTCCAAGTTAAAGTAATTGTAATAAATTTGACTGATGTAAAGTTATCATGTACTAATCTACACACCTAAAAGTCCCACCTTAACATTTGAATACAAATAATTAAGGTTATCTATATGTCAGTTTAACGCTAATTTCGTCTTTTTTTATAAATAATCCACTTAAAATACATATTTATATTGTATTATTTCCAGAAAATAAGAATAAATGGCGACAGATAGATAACCTTAATGATTTGTATTAAAATGCAAGGTGTCCCTTTGAGGTTGTCTAAATAAAGTTTATTAAAAAACCTAAATGCTATTTTAAAAGTAATATAAATTAATGTAAATGTTTACTTGTTATTTATAGTAATACAATATTACAACACTATATTTTCATATAATTAAGTAAGTATAAAAGTAAATGTTTTATTTAAACTTCAGCCAATATATAAAACTTCACTCTTTAGGGGATAAAACACCAAGAAAAACTAGTTTTATTTATTTAAGGGACGAATAGGTATTTATAATAAGGCTAGATTATTATTAATACATCCCCCCGGTACCTAACTATTTATTTTTACATTTGTCTTCTTTGGTCTTAATCACGTAAATTTGAATTTAGCAATTCAAATTGTTTATTACCGTCTCTTAACATACATGCATAGGCGATATGTTTAATGTTTCTACAAAAATCTACTAGAACATTCAGTCTTGCGTACATTCTATGTCTGACAAATTCGGCTCGCTAAATAAAACAAAAAAAAAAGTTAAACCTAAAAACAGTATCTACATTGGTCAATTATTTTGTCTAGAACACTACTTACAAAAAATACAAAAATATATCGCTGACAATCCGTTAAGGTTTTCTTATACGTTTCACAACTTATCTGTAGAAGACAACTCAACTAGAAATTAACACATTTATTCTATTGGTTTTTTTTTGGGTTACATAGTTTTTAAAACAGATAGAGCAAGTTCATAACTTTACTTAACCTGCCCTATGAGCATATTAAGGGTATTTTTATATCAGTACAGTTTAATTTTCATAAAATATTTTTGGAAGACATTTCCTTAAAAATGACAAACTACAGAGTAAAAATTAATATTAGATTGTACATTGAGTTTCAAAATTAGAGAATTGTAAAAATTTCATCTTTATAATTAAATATATTGTAAAATTTGGGACTGATTTATGTTATTTTTTAGTATAATAATTTTTTTTATTATTTAAGGTTTGCCAAATAATATAAATTACATACCAGCTATAATTTTTTTGTTTTGAAAAAAGGTTATTAATTTCTACTTAATTTTTACAAAAGTCAGGGTATACTTTTTTTTTATTTCTGAACATCTTCAGTGGAGCATACAAAAAAGTTTGAAAAAATGGGGAGCAGCTGAATTAATATTGCTTGGAGAAATTTACCAAAAAAAATAGTTAACTTTTTTCCATGTTTTCAAAAACGAAAAAATCGTGGGTGTACCAGATAAACCAAATATTCAAACTTTCTAATACTAAAAAATACCAAAAAAATTTCCAGTACATTAGGATATAATATCCATTAATTTTGAAACACATTGCATTTGAAGGACCAAACGGAACAAAGATACTTATATTTTTTCGTAGAAAACCAATAACTAAACCGACTGTGGGGGTATTATCCTACAAAGGAATGTTTAACTGTAGATTTTTTTTGGCACCACTCTTGCCCTAAGCATCGCGACCGTTAACTGACTAACTGGCTCTGTAGGTGATTCAGAATCCGAACTGGTGCCCACTGGCAGTTGGCCTTCGTTTGCCGATTTGCCATTTGTATGCTTTTTGTAGGGCGAAGATAGACTCCTGGTTTCATCTGAAAAGAACAAGATATTCAAATTAATATTCATTATTTTAGAAATATTTATGTGACAATACAATTCATTATAATTAGAACCAATAAAATGCCAGTGTTCCATAGTTACGCATTTTATCACAGCGACAATATTTTTTATCACCTTGTTTACACGTTGCTAAGGATTTTGACACTTTTCTTGATTTGACATTTGTTGACATTTAAATACTGTGTTTGTTAAATGATTAAAATAATGAATTATAAACTCTAAAACATCGATAGGCTGGTGTAAACGATAATAAAATTAAGGTAAGTTTGAATAAATAAGGTTTATTAAAGTCTATTTATATTTTAAAGCACATTTTAATTTCAAATGTCAAACTGACAATTCGTTAAATCCTAAAATTCATTATATTTTCTCACTAAATATAACTCGTGGTATGATTAATTATCGATGTTATTTACAGCACTGTATGTTTGTAAAAATATACGTTGTGTCCGCGGATGGGGTTCCCAAGGGGAAAATAATCTTTATTATTTATTTTACGACCAAAAGTCATTCTTTATAAAAAGTTCTGCTTGTTGAGAAAATGAATTCACGATAAAAAAATTTAAGATCAGATGTACAGGGTGTTCAAAAATTAGGAAAATATGAAAACGACAAAACTTATGCATACTTTAAGTAAGATCATAAGAAAACAAACAATTTTTAGAGAAACGTGCAATGTAAAAATATTTAATACATGTGATTTATTAAAATTTAAAAAGTTATATCATTTTAAATATTGTTTTAAAGGGATGGCCATTTTTTAAGTAGACGTGCACAAATTACCCACACGGCAGCAAAATAGCTGTTGACCAGTGTAAATTTGCATCATATCGATGACTTTCTGCCAAAGTATCGCAAGCAACATAACTCAAATTTCGGAAATTGAAAACATTATTGTCTTAAAGTCTGTTTTAAATTAAATATAGCCTAAAGGATTTATAACAAGTAAATAGCGTATAATTATAGCTATTTACTTGTTATAAATCCTTTAGGCTGTATTTAATTTAAAAAAGACTTTAAGACAATGTTTTCAATTCCCGAAATTTGAGTTATGTTACTTGCGATACTTTGGCAGAAAGTCATCGATATATTCATCAAGAAATATGAACCTATCTCGCCTTCCGCCAAAAAAACATACTACGCTGTTTTATGGATACATTTGTTTCTTTAGTTCAGCGTGCTCAAATTACCCTAGAAAAGTTAACTGAATGGTGTCTTTTTCTTTAATAAAATCAAATGGCAATCTTTTGATATTCTATTTCTGAATGATTTCAAAATATTCCAAAAGCAAGTTTATTTATCGCGAGAATCACGACAAACATAAAAAGTAGCCAATATCATATTTTTTTTGTCATTCAAGGTATTCAAAAATAAATATGTTGTAACACTAAATAAACTTTTTTGGAGATCGTTATTTTTGTCCGATAGGTTTTCGTAGGGCTACATAAAAAATGTTTCTTACATATTTTGTTTCCGTTTCCGAGATTCACATTGTCGATCTGATACCTCGCCGCCAGGGCTGCAAGCTGATCAGTGGTTTCTGCTTCATCATCTTCCAAGCTTGAGTAGCTCCCTGTGGTAGCATCTCCATCAGAAGATCCTTTGGATTGTTTATCACCTGCGTTGTCAAGTTCAACCTCTTCTTCCTTAATTTATCGAAAAATAAGTTGTGTGTAAACTAGTCTATAAAATTACATATAAATACCCTATTATCAGCTAAGAGCTCTAGAATGATTTATTACCAAGTTTAAATATTCATAAAGTGAGTAAACAAATGCTTTTGATTAAGCAGAATTAATCGTCGAAACGTTTTGTATTTTGCATTTTGATAATGGTTAAAACGGGTCGGTTAAATAAAATCTGAAATGGCCAACCGTCTAATTTTCACATGAAAAGCGTAATTAGTTATTCATAAACCGAAAAGTTTCAGCAAGAAGGTTTATTTGAATAACAAAGATATTTTGTAAATTAATTTACAACATAGAAGTTACGTGGAAGAAATAGTCTTTCTTATGGTGAACAACGGCTCTATTCTAAATTAATATAACTGTCTTAAATTTTATGCAAATGCATTTAATTCTGTTTGTGTAATTACCTATTGTTTTTAAAAATATAATAAATAATTCGTTTAAATATATGGTTTATTAAATATTAAGAGAGACGTAGCAAGTGAAGGTTCATGGGGGTTAGGGTGTCCCTTATTTTTATTTTTTTTACGCATACCCTCTAATTATATTTATTACGTGTTTATATACTCCCAGTAAAAATTTCAGCTCATTCTATAAACGGGAACCCGTGCCGACTTGCATCTGAACCCTCCGTTAGCCAACGTTAGGCGCGCGGTATTTTGTAACACGGTTGGTCGCGAAGTCATTTTGTGTTTGTTATTATGTGACCCTTATATTATAAATTATTGACAAATGTTAAAATATAGTTTTATTTATGTGTATACTTTGATAAAAATGTATATTTTCACAGGGAGTGGCTAGTTACCCGGAGGGGTCTGTTGAATAGGCCGTAAACTCTGAAATTGATAAACTTAATGGGTTTTACTCTAAATAACTAAAAGAGTCTATTGTAAGAGATGACTACCGAAAACTTATTGAACTGTCTGAAATATTTTTGGGAGGACATCAAGAAAAGAAATTATTATAAAAAGCTGAAATTTCATATAACAGTATATTTTAGCAATACTAATTAGTATATTAATATATTTAAGGGATAAAATCAACTAAATTAGTGAAACAAATGATAGAAACAAAAGCAATAATATTAATTAGTAATCATATTTAATAAAATCATTAGAAAAATACAGTCATGAAGTATATCTTCTTTTTAAAGTGTTTCGTGTTACAAAATAACGCGCGCGCCTAAGGTTGGCTAACGGAGGGTTCAGATGCAAGTCGGCACGGGTTCCCGTTTATAGAATGAGCTGAAATTTTTACTGGGAGTATATAAACAAGTAATAAATATAATTAGAGGGTATGCGTAAAAAAATAAAAATAAGGGACACCCTAATGGGGGTGTTACGACCCCCAACGTTTTGTAGTGGGAATTTTCCGAGATTCCGATATTATTTCCCAATGAATGGCAATTTTTGGAAAATTATTTAGTTAAAGATTGTTAAAGATACGAAAGTAAATTTGTTTTTCTGTGAATTCACTAGTCAGAATTTTCGAAAGTTTTATTGGCTGCCGACTAATGCCGACTGCAGCTGTAGCTAATGCCGAATAACAGCCGCTCGAGGGTTCAAACATTTTTGGACTCCCTTAATTTTCCAAAAAAAATCGATATTTCACGTAGTTTATAAAATTTCTTAGATGAAAACTATTCCAATTTTTTCAAGGTGCCCTGATAATAGCTAATTTTGAATATAGCAGACAAAAGGGATTACTTATATATTTTGAGAACTTATAGGGATTATTCAGCAAATTCGCGATGTTTTTGATCGAAAATCTGGAATGTTTAAAAGATCTTTTTGTAGTAATTTCAATTTGCAGTGACTTTTCTAAAACTCGTTTTTTTCTTGTTTAATTTTTTAATCACAAACTCACAATTTTTTTGATGCTGCTAACAAAGATAAAAATGGGGTGTATTATCTTTGGCTACTAATAATAATAATAATATTAATTTTAAAAAATTATACAATCAGTCTAACGTATTCCTCTACATTTTAATATTAAAAAATCGTTAAAAAATCAATTTTAATAAAAATTATCCCTTCATATTTGGAACCTTCGCAACGCCCCAGGATTTTGGGGAAGTTTTGTTTTACAATATTTATTTAGCGTGCTTTTCTTGAATAGTTTTTTATAACATAGAATCAAATTTTCTTTATGTCAACAATAATGGAATGGCCCATATATTCTTTTACATTTCGATAGATTGTTTCAAGATGAATTCCAAAAATATATAAAACTTATGGTATATTTACTTTAAAAATAACAATTGTATGAGATACAAAAACACTACGCTCACTGATAAAGAAAAATTAAACAATAAGTTATCCGTGATTTTAATGCTACCATTTCAACACAACTTTATTTCTGTTGTCAAAAATTTGAAAAATGTCCTATTATTTGAAAAAAAAGTGTACTATTTTATAAATCTAATATAAATGCTTATGACAAGGCAGCAAATCATGGCGCTCATTCTTTAATTCTGCTCTAGATCTACTGTGGTAGTGTTTTTGCGCTTATTATATAATTGTTATGTATGAAGTAAATATAAATAAATATTTTGGGTCAGGGTATGTATATATTTGATGATGTTTGTTTACTCATTAACATATTTATAAAGGATTATTTACCTCTTGTCCTTCGCTACTATCATCTGTACTACTTTCTGATACTGAGCTTATGCTGTTATCTTCGCTATTATCCTCGTCCTCACTTTCACTGTCGTTCGCATCATCTTTAGGGCCGGGTTGTAAATCTATATCACAAAATATAATTAATGAATATTAATCATACATTATCTGGGTCAGTCATACTTTGCTGCAGTTTCTCCAATATAAGCGGGTAAAATTCTTTGGCCGTGGAATTGTTCGGTTCGTATTGTAATACTGCAAAAATGGAAACATTTATGAACAAAGAAAAGCTTTAAGGATTATTACCATTGTTGTATTTAAATAAAGTTCGCTGCGGTTTAATTTAGTAGTTTTATAATTTAATTATGTTAGTTTAAATATTTAATCAAATATTTTTGAGAGGAGACTTTCTTAACAATACTTTGTTCAAAATATATATATATATATATATATATATATATATATATATATATATGTATACTAGGGTGTTTCAAAAAAATCGACTTTTTCTTTTTCTTCAAATGGTCGGCAAATTCTTTCAGAGGATGTCAACACAAAGACCTCGTCAAAATTTTAGCTTTTAATTTGAAGATTTAGAGGTCGCGGATCGCAATTTTCTATTTCCCATTTAAATAACATGGGAATTTTTTTTTTTTAACTTTGAAATTTTATACGTCTAAATCAAATCAACTTATGTCAAGGATCATCTTAGATTTTCATAGTAAATTTAACGCTCTACAAAAAAGGTCTCCTATCATTTTTCTATAAATTGATTCCTTCGAGAGTTATTCAAGGCCAAAGTTTGATTTCCATAGAATTTTCGCGTTTTTTTAACATTTATGGTACAATTATCATTATACGGGTGGCCAAACTTAAACAGTGCATTATTCGTATAAAAATAACACTTTTTGTTTAATAAACATGTATCAAAAAATGCTCCCTAAAGGAGCTACGGCCCCCTGAATAGGAGCCTAAGAGGATAATTTTTTTTAAACTATTCCTAGAGGGTTGAACATGAACAAATGAATTTTCGGTAGGTACTTTGGTAATTTTGACATGCTGAATCTAGATCTATGATCAAAACTGTTAAAATTTAATCATAGGCGTAACATTTGGAGGGGGCAAAGTTACAAAAATAGCCCCAACTTTTTTCTGGGTTAATAATTTATTTTTTTTTATGAAATTATGAGAATTTATAGTTTTTTACGAAAAATAGGTACTCTTGATTTGAATTGCTCAGATGCGCCATTTTCGAGAAAAATGCATTTATAAATAAATTACTTTGCATATTATACACATCTCATATTTTCATTAAAACTTTGTAGTAGGCTTTGGAAAAAAGTGACGTTTTTTTGTTTTTTTGTTTTTTTACAACACTTCATATGTTTCAGATATAAATATGTGATTTTTTTACTACATGATGCTAAAAGTTGAAAAAACGAGAAAATTCGATGGAAATCAAACTTTGGCCTCGAATAACTCTGGAAGAAATCAATTTATAGAAAAATTATAAAAGACATTTTTTATAGAGCGTTAAATTTACTATAAAAATCTAAGATGTTCCTTGCCATAAGTTGATTCGATATAGACGTATAAAATTCCAAAGTTAAAAAAAAAATTTCCTATGTTATTTAAATGGGAAATAGAAAATTGCGATCCGCGACCTCTAAATCTTCAAATTAAAAGCTCAAATTTTAACGAGGTCTTTGTTTTGACATCCTCTGAAAGAATTTGCTGACCATTTGAAGAAAAAGAAAAAGTCGATTTTTTTGAAACACCCTAATGTATACATACATATATATATATATATATATATATATATATATATATATATATATATATATATATATATATATATATATATATATATATATATATATATATATATATATATATATATATATATATATATATATATATATATATATATATATATATATATATATATATATATATATATATATATATATATATATATATATATATATATATATATATATATATATATATATATATATATATATATATATATATATATATATATATATATATATATATATATATATATATGTATATATATATATATTTAAAATTTAATTTTCTTAGTTATATGTTGTATGGTAATAATATACTCAAGCTTGGAGTGTAAGGCTGAAATTCTAAAGTGCTCTGACCCAAGCTTCAAATCCAAGAGTGGGCCAAGCCTGGGATGTTTTTCTGACCTAGAGGTTAGTTTTCAGTCTTGGCCCAATACTACCACAATAGTATTGGTGTGTAAGCACGCTGAAAACAAGCTGCCATGGGCCATGGCCCATGGCCTTATATATGCAAACAAGTACAGCGACCGCGGTGAGTTGTCTACCGTCCATGCGGACGTGGCCCACTATGGGTGTTGCAGAACTGTGCTGCCTAAACTTCATAGCGGGAGTAAAAATCATGCTCCACTACAACCAGTCTTTCAGCTATGACTACAACCCGAAAGACAAACCGTGAGTATGCGTTTATGCAGTTTCCAAAAATGGTTTTCTGCTTAAGGTGTAGTGTACATGTTGTGAAAACTGGCCAAATACCTCGTCACCGTTGCTGTCCGTTCGCATGGACGGTGGCTGATTACATCTTACCGCGGTCGCTGTATTTGTTTGCCTATATAAAGCCATGGTAGCGTGTTTCCAGCGTGCTTACACACCACGGCTATTCTGCACTGATAGGTCAAATAAGATGATTTTATTAGACCTAATCAGTGCATATATTTATTAATATCGAAACAGACTGTCTGTCGGTGCCTGCTTGTGTTGTACGCTCGAAACGAAAGCAACGGTGACGAGGTATTTGGCCAGGCCAGGCCACGCAATAAGGGAGGTTATTTCAAATATCTTATTTTAAGCACACAACATTTTTTCCGACTAGTAGTTTTTGAGTTATACCTAAGTGTTTTAAAATTGTATTTTATTTTTGTCAATTCAATGTTTCTAGACTATTTAATTATAATATAAAAAGATAGAAAATAGGACGCAAAGACACAATAATACAATACAATTTGACGTTACTTAAGTATTATTGTTAATTATTGTGTTATCTTTGTAATTAAGTTAAATTCACAAAAAATGTCCTTTTTTTACAGAACCTGACAACACAGTCTTTGGTCATGATCATAAGTTTTTTTGATCAAAGTAACGCTTTATTGTTATGTATAAATTTTATTTTGCCAATAGTAAAAAATGTTTTTTTTAACATATCAATTTTGGCCAACTCGGTCTTGAAGGTTTGGCGGAGGCTTGGTCAGAGACTTGGGAGACAGGAATCGGTCTTAAAAATCTGGCTGAAGCTTGGTCAGAGATTTAAAAGCCAAGACTCGGTCTTGAAACTCTGGCTGAAGGCTTGGTCTTGAAAGGTTTGGTCCAAGGCTTGAAAGCCAAGACTAGGTTTTAAAAGTCTGGCTGAGGCTTGGTAAGAGACAGAAGCCAAGGCTTGGTCATAAAATTCTGGCTGAAGCTTGGTCAGAGACTTGGGGGCTAAGACTCGGTTTTAAAAGTCAGGCTAAAGCTTATAAGCTTTAGTCAGAGATTTGGAAGCCAAGTCTCGGTTTTAAAAGCCTGGCCGGAGCCTGGTCAGAGACTTGGAAGCCAAGACTCAATTTTTAAAGACTGTCCGAGGCCTAGGCCAATATATCTATCTATCTATCTATCTATCTATCTACGAGAGAGGGCAGTCCTCGGGGTAGCCCAACGTACAGCCAAGCTTGGCCCCATTGATATTGATATAATATTGATATTGATATGAATTAAATATGATATTAATATTAATATAATTTTAAATTAAAATTTGTATTTGGATGAATTGCTTTAAAATTTTTGTCTTAATTTTTAGCCTTATAAAACTTAATTGTTTTATTTATAGCATGAAGTAGTATTACTTCATGATTCATACTAAAGAGCTGAGGTATTTTCTACTCTAAATCCAAAAAGAAAATATAATTAATCATCTCAAGAACGGAAAAGACTCCACAAATCATTTAGAAAAAAGCGGTGTATATTGCATAAAATGCGAAGAATGTAATGCAAAATGTATTGGGGAGACAGGAAGAAAAATTAAAGTTAAAATTAAAGAACACGTAAAAGACAACAAGACCTTTAGCTTCGGTAACCATCCCACACAGAACACGCTATCCAATGGATATCCAATGGCTATCCCAATGTCCATATAACATCCATGCCTTTTACGATATCCATTGGATATCCAATGGATATCCATACTAGATGTTCAAAAAAAAACAAAAACATTAAAAATATTTTTTTCTTTTTTAAAATAGCCCCTTATAGGATAAATTTATGTAATGATTAATAAATATGATTTAAATCGTTATTAACCCAATTTCAACAAAGTATCTCTAATATATATCCAATGGATAACTAATGTATGTCCAAAGTATATCCACTGTACATCTAATGTATATCCACTGGATATCCACTGGATATACAATGGATATCCATACTGGATGTTCAAAAAAAAACAAAAACATTAAAAATATTTTTTTCTTTTTTAAAATAGCCCCTTATAGGATAAATTTATGTTATGATTAATAAATATAATTTAAATCGTTATTAACCCAATTTCAACAAAGTATCTCTAATATATATCCAATGGATAACTAATGTATGTCCAAAGTATATCCACTGTACATCTAATGTATATCCAATGGATATCCAATGGATATCCATACTGGATGTTCAAAAAAAAAACAAAAACATTAAAAATATTTTTTTCTTTTTTAAAATAGCCCCTTATAGGATAAATTTATGTAATGATTAATAAATATGATTTAAATCGTTATTAACCCAATTTCAACAAAGTATCTCTAATATATATCCAATGGATAACTAATGTATGTCCAAAGTATATCCACTGTACATCTAATGTATATCCACTGGATATCCAATGGATATCCATACTGGATGTTCAAAAAAAAACAAAAACATTAAAAATATTTTTTTCTTTTTTAAAATAGCCCCTTATAGGATAAATTTATGTTATGATTAATAAATATGATTTAAATCGTTATTAACCCAATTTCAACAAAGTATCTCTAATATATATCCAATGGATAACTAATGTATGTCCAAAGTATATCCACTGTACATCTAATGTATATCCACTGGATATCCACTGGATATCCGATGGATAACTGATATGGATATCTTGTATATATACTTGTATGTATACATGTGGGATTTTGTGATGGTTTAAACTAGCATATG